ATCCCCCACCTCCATGTAAACAGGCCCTTTGTTTATGATACCAATTAAACGTCCTCATTCGCTATGTAAATTGAGAAATTACTTGTGAGTGACAAAATCACATCTTGACGTGTCAAAAAAATATGTTTCCCAAGCATTAATTCAACCTTACACCAAAAATAAACTTTGAGAGCCTGCTAGGCAACCACAACAATTGCGATCCGTTTCTATCTCCATCAAGTTTGTCCATCCATTTTGAGTGTTTTGTTGTTTCACTCATTTTGGTGGCAGTTCCAGTTGTTTCAATTTTGATGAAAATCATGGCGCAGCTCCTATAGCAGTTACAAACCGTTGGGTTCCCTCTCGGTTTTGTTCACTTTTATGTTGGCAGAGCCTTCTTTTTTCTTCTTGAGGTCGCTGCAGCCTGAACTTCTGAGCTAGTCAATCTTGTTCTCTCTTGTCAAACTGTATTTTTTGTTTTTTTTTTTTTGAAGTGCGAGCATCCTTTTATTGATAACCGATGGTCATGAACTAGCCCGCTGTAGCAAGCGCACGGTTATTGGGCTGGGTCCGAAACTGTATCCTACCAAAATGCTGCGCATGCTCGAGCAAGCAAAAGAAAGGTTTGGCTGGCAGGGTGGTTTGCGGTTACAGGGAGATAAATGAAAATTAACTTGGCAAGGAGGAGGAGAAAAAGTGGAACCCGGTTTGGTGGTAAACGAGCCCGGGCTTGCCAATTTTGTTTTCGCCTTGTTCCAATTACATTGTGTGTTTCAAACCTTTATACCCTTGAAAGATTCAGACAGAAATCAACATATATATTGCAATTAATGATCTTTTATTGAAACACCAAATTTGGTTGCACTACAGTAATGTGCGTATATAGAGCTTGTACTATGAAACCTGCATGAAACCATTATAGAATCTCTCGCCTACAAAATAGAGTCAAGTGGCCTCTTAAGTTTACATCTCTTCATTTATGAGGTGATTTGTTTAGTTGCCCCTTGATGACAAAATTAAGATAATTTTTCGTCCAACTCTAAAAACACGTTGAATCATTAATTCGCCAAAGTAATTGTGTTTGGAATCCACGTAAATGTTTGGGCCATGTGTATCGGGATAATAGTGGGCATTTAGTGTGATGACGTCACCAGCCTTCAGCTTGAAAACCCCACCAGCCCACCATCATGATGGTAGTATCTATTATTTACTGGCGGTTGGATCATAATGACTTCGTTGTTAACTTTGATAAAGACTCGTCCATTGTTGTGGAAGTAAAGTTGAGCGTAGATGTAGTACTGTCCAGGGGTAGGCACCGTCAGTTTTCCGTCTTCGGTATGTCATACCGCCTTCACGATGGCCCTTGATTACTACGAAGCAAGGTAACAACATACGTGATTTTAGAGATCAACGTCATCATTCTTAACGAATTTTCCAAAATACTTATGACTCTACCCAATACTCCACGATATCCTAAAACCATACCAGTCCTCGGTCACTACGAAGCAAAGATAGCGATTTTTAGAGATTAAAAAGATCGCGTGGCAACATTCATTTATTTGTGCACAACGAATTTATGCTCTTTTCTCTAATTTCTGCATTTCAGAAATAGCGTTAACCTTGGGGATACACTTTTTCTTTCAAAATTTTGGCTTAACAGAATTAAATGGAAATGTAGATTGCGGTGAACTAAGTGAGTACCTGTGTTGGGTGAATAGCGAACAATATACTTCCACGCAGCTTTAAGGGCCTGTTTACATGGAGATGGGGGACCCCAAGTAGGTGAGGTAACCCGCTTAGGAGGCCAACCCGCCTGTCCATATAATGTCTCATATGATCACCCCACATATCATGTAAACGCTATCAAATTAAAATATGAGATTGCATGGACAGGCGGGTTACCCCATCTAAGCGGGTTACCTCACCTATACCTGGGGGCCCCATCTCTATGTAAACAGGCTCTTGAAGATTGGAAAGGTTCCGATCGCAAAAGTAAAGTTCGTGGTGTTAAAACAAAGGCAACGGCAGATCATTCTTCATGAGCACTGCATAAATGAAACTTGTGATAACATAACAGTACACTGGTCTTACCTGATTTTAAACGAGCTTCATTATCCCTTCACCCCTAAATTGGACCCAGAAGGACGTCAAGAACGTACTAGAACCAAAGTTCCAGGTGAGTTTACATGATGAATGTAGCAATTTATATATATAATGTTGGAATTCAATGTCTATTCAATTTCAATTCAATGGCAGTCAAGTTCAATTCCGTGGCGATTTCTATAATAAGTTTCAATTCAAAGAAAATTCACCCTCAATTCACTGTGAAAACTCGATCAAATTCTTTGCTATTGAGAGTCATTGACACTCTAAATTCCAGCCTTGTAGTGATGTAATCGGCTTGCTACTTTCTTGGCGAATGATTTTTCCGTTGACAAGATGCTTTGTTATTTTTGTCGCAATTGGCAAAAATGTCGTTTGCCCTGATAAACACATATTCTCTAGTCCAAACCAAATACCAAAATACTGTTTCTTTGCGTCGCGATCAGCAGCTTACATGTAACTTTAAATTTGTACTTCGATACTCAAACATTTGAAACTTATCTGAATCTTATTTCATAATGGTCTCTGTTGTTAGGATTTCATAAGCTTGTCTAAATATTAAAAAAGACCGCTCACTCAATATCTTAGAAGATGCCTTCTCAGTTGTCTTACCCCTAAGCTTTGAAATTTGGTGGCCTGGTGTTGTACTTTATTTTCGAAAGGATCTTGAATTTACAAGTCACCCTGATTGCACCTCTTCCGATTTTGAGATTATTAAATCACCCTTTTGCTGTCCCTTGTGAAAAAAACATAATTGTAGGTACTATTTCATTGTATCTGTATACATTGAACAAAAAGATTCCTTACTCTTCCTTTGAAAATCTTGATTAAAATTTAGACTTGTTTAGTTATATTAGCCTTAGTTATCGATGAGCCTTACGCCTACGTACCGACTAAGGGCCTGTTTACATGGAGTGGGGGATCCCGGTCTAGTGGGGTAGGTTTCTTTTGTTTTGTGTCCCCGAGAGCGTGAAAACAAAAGAAACCAACCCCACTAGACCGGGGTCCCCCACTCCATGTAAACAGGCCCTAACACACATGTTATTCTCACACTCTTCTTTTTCACTTGAATTGGTTCGGTTTGTTCGCTTCGGGGAATATATTACATAATCTTTGTTTAATGTAAACTTTCTGAAAAGTTGGTGGCGGCTTTGATTGTAACAGGGGAGTGCGTGGTCCACTTTGCCTATTTTAGCTTTCATGGGAGATATACAAGTAGGAAAAAACTCCAGTGGAAAACCAGGTGAAGATGCAGATTCCACTGGGTCTGTTACAGAGCAGTGTTTTGTGAATGACAAAATCACTGCTTCGTGTCAAGCAAATATGTCTCCCAAACATTATTTCAAACGTTACACACGAAAAGATATAATTTGAAAACTGTTAGGCAACTACAATTGCGATCCGCTTCCATCTTCTTCAAATTTGTCCATTCATTTTAAGCGGTTTTTTTGGCTGTTATTGTCGTTGTTGTTTGTTTGTTTGTTTTTTTCACTCAGTTTGGTGGCAGTTCGAATTGTTTCAAGCCGATTTTAAACTTAATTTCCTATTTTTCGCATAAACGGAGCTTCGCTGGAACTTTTGAATATTGTTTTTGAAAATAGTTTACCAAAATGTTTGTTTTGGTGAAAGAAAAAAAAATTCGAATTTATTGATCTGGCGGCGGATTCTCGATAGTTACTGACAACGGCCCTTAAAATGGAAAAACGTACGTGATAACGTTTTAAGATTGATTTCAGCATCCATGGCAAGGGCGTTTAAGGGTAAGTATCAAATCATTCAAAACCTAAAGCAAAGAGTAAATAGAGTGTAATGCGGGAGACCCGTCGTACTCCTTTGCTATATATTTTTGTGAACTTGACAGTGTACAACGTATATTTCTATCGATTTACTTTACTGACTAATGAAAACGTGGAATTAGTCTATTAATCGCAGTCATGTAAACAAAACCCAAAGGCAGCCTCGTACCCAGGCCAGTTCGCGCTATCCAAGATACAAGAGGAGGCTTGGAACCGGCGAATTTTCCCGACAAACTTGACAGGTGACGTCACATCCGAAATCACCGAGGACGAGTGGGAACGAGACTTAGCTGATCCCTGCTACCAGGGTGGCAATGCTCAACTTCCACATCTCGCGTAAATGAGCGTAAAATTGTTACTTACTTTATGCTAAATTTTGGAAAATTGATAGGTGACCGTTTAATAGAGGGTGACCACATGGAGGGCCTCTTAATAGAGGTTTGAGAACTCTGAACAGCCTAAAAAGTGTTTTTAATGTGTTGAGGAGGAAATCGTTGTTCAGGGTGCCCCGAAATTACGACATTCCACGTCATGGTGCAAAGCCAGTTGTTGTTTGAGCTAATTAATTAAACCCATTACTTTTTCAATGTTCCGTTGCCATTGAAAAACTTTGCCTTCATGATGTAGATTTCTATGTTTCAATTTTGTTATACATTGCGTTAAAGACAGGTCGAGACAAACAGTCAAAAACACGATTGTTTTTTCTCTCCACTGAACTTAAACAGATGGAGAAAGGCGCCAAAATGTCGATGGAAATTTATCGAGTCGTCTCCTAGCTTCTTCTAGACAGAGTTGAAGTGATGAAAGGCTGGAATTTACAACCCCTTTCTTCGATTTTTTGTTTTCCAGACGTTCCCACCCTTGAAAAAACCATACAGAGATCAAGACAGCTCCAGCAATGGCAGTATGCCCTTTATTTCAACATCGTGCAAACCCAGTTACATAAATTTTGTAGAATAATGTAAGTAGTGGTAAGATGAGACGAATGCAGAATGTCTCCTACGAATAAGGGTATATTTTACACGTAACCCTGAATTATTTTAGTAACCTTAAAACCTACAGCTTTTATGTTATACTTTTAATAGTTGCAATTAATGACGAAGGGGGTTTAATGTTAAAAGTTTAAATCAGAAATGCGCCAAAGTAACTGTGGTAGGTGGCCATGTATATCTTGGCGACGTTATTTGGATAACTGTCGATGCTCAAGGTGATTTCATCACCAGCTTTCAGGTAGAACACCCCACCAGCGTACAAGCTACCATGGTGATTAACACTTATTGGCGGTTGCATCATGGTAATGGCTTTGCTGTTTACATTAACAAAAACCCTCCCATTGTTGTGGTAGTAAATTTGAGCGTAGATGTAATACCGTCCGGGGGTAGGCACCGTCAGTTTTCCGTTGTAGTACTTCATACCGCCTGCAAGATGGCTGTACGGAGCACTGAGCGACCAGTCCTTGATCACTAAGAAGCAAGGTATAAACATACACTCTAAGTGGTTTGGGAGATGCGCGTGACCATGCGTGGGAAATTTTCGAAAATTTTCTTGTAACCCCACCCCTTACCTCAATTACCGTCGGTTGCATCTATAGTTCTTATCTTCAGCGTAAGTACATAACTTAATCCTTCTTTGAAAAACTCAGCCTTGATGATTACAAATCCTCTTGATTCAAATCCTCCTCTTTCCTCGATGCTCGAAGAAGCTAAACTTACTTGTTATTGTATTTTTTTTTCTGAGGTCTGTGTTGTAAATCATCGAAACTTTATGAGGATAAACTATCCGTTCGAATTTCTCGCTAGACAAAATACAAAATTAAAAAAAGCAGTAGCCTGCCGTGAACTAGTAAAACAGTGAACTGAAGTACCTGTGTTGGCTGGGTAGAGGACCTCTCTCTTGTAAACAGCCTCGATATGAGCAGATGGTTTCTTTGGATCCTGAAATAAAAGCCGGTGATGAATGTTTCCTTAGAATGACATAAAACTTTTAAAGTATAGTAAAACTGAGCAGAGATCTATATAATACTTAAAACAGCATGCACTGAGTTGATCATCAATTTGTACTAATTGTACGAATCTGTACTTTCGATTCGCACTAAAAGCAAAGGATCAAGACCGCAAAATTGTGAAAGTTAATACATGTACTTAAAAACTAAATTGTACAAGAGAGAGTTTTATTGAAAATTTCCGCTTCCGTAATTTATTGAAAGTTAAAGGGAATATTTCACGGCTCTCTAGTTCATTTAATTTTCTTAAGTATTTCCAGTTATGCTCTATGGACCTAAATTGCTTGTAGATGGCAAAAATCACAACGTCATGTCAAACTATAATGTCTCCCAAACATCATATCAAACGTTACAATGCACAAAAATGAACTTTGAAAAACCTGATCAGGCTGATTTTAACTAGAACGTTTTCAAAAACTAGAATCTTAATCCGTTTCCATCTTTTTCAAGTTTCGCCCCATGTAAGGGAATCCATGACAGTCTTGGATTCTGGATTCCACCCTGTGGATTCCGGATTACGAGTACTGGATTCCGGATTCCAGCTAAGTGGATTCCGGATTCCAAAAAGGGCTGGATTCCAAATTTTTTTCTGTTTTAATGCTTTTTTTCGCATTTCGTTTTCGTGTTCAAATCTTGCTATATTGAAAGACGTTGTTTAGAATGCATAACAAGTTTATTTTCTTTTTCGATTTATAAATTACGTGAGGAAATGTATCACTGTTCCGTAAGGGTTTAAGGTATAATGATGAGGGGGACATTGGGGGACTGTCCACACCGCAACAGCGCGGAAAAAAATAAGAAACACCGCATCACCGTAAAAAAACGTGGCGAAACACCGACATCGCAATTTTAAATTTTGTCCTTCGATTAATCTAGTCCAAATCTCCATATGAATAGGGATCGAGGATCTCGGAGCTGGTTTAGAGATTAGTAGAGAGCGAGACTGACCCCAATACTCTATTTTTCACTTACTCTATTTTTGCGAACTCTATTTTCAGTCATGCAGATAGAAAAATGCTTAATTAGCAGAAACTAAAGAACTCTTGGAAATCATTCCTAAATATTCACGTTTATTCATTTGGTTGCTGGATAATAAAATGTTGGGAAAAGGTACAGTCATTGCCAGGGAAAATCGAGCTGCAATTTGCAAGAAAACGGCCTAACAAAGTTCGTGTGTAGCCCCAAATCAATTTTTCCTATCTATGCCATATCATAAACCAGGAAAGTTAAGCAAGTCTTTTGCTATCCACCAATAATATAATAGAAGGATCATTTTGTTTGTATGTCGTTACATTCGTAGTTTTCCTTGTCCTGTCCGAACACCTGGAACAGGCTACGTCGAAACATGTTTGCAAATTCTTTTGGAACATTAAAACAGTATTTCGAAGTAATAGAACTGAACAAAACGTTAAAAGCCGCCAATCGCTAATCACCTCCAAACTATCACGAAGAAAAGCTTGGTTAATTTCTTCACATGTTTTTGGACATTGTTTTTCGTTCTTTTTCTACTTTTTATTAGAATCATTGTCATAGCGCCAAAAAACTAAAACCCGTTACCGCTCTATTGTAAAACTTTCATTTATAAAGACACAGTAAGCTGTAGAACACGCGCATTAGATATCACTTCTTAACTGGAGTGAATTGCTTTCACACTTTCTCATATGACTCGTAAGACACGAATTTTAGCCAAAGACAATAAAATACACTTCTCCTAGGACGGGATAAGCATATATACTCAGTAAAAGATTGACAATAAAAAAGAGCACTACAGAAGATTAAATTGGACTTCAAGCTGACAAAAGTGATGTCCCGGTCAGCGCGGCCCTAAAGTGACTAAAGTTGACTGTGTCACATAATTGTCTAAGAATGATAACATGGCTCTAAATAAATTTCGGACAGTAGACGGACCACGTTGATCCACAAAATAAATTTTTACGCCGTCACGTCTCGACGTTTTTGACTGGTCAAAATAAAGAAAAAAAGTTAACTCTTGACAGTCTGCAAGCCCAAAACTATCAGTTACTTGGTCTAGTCGTTTCTGAACCATTTAAATCGAGTTCAAAAAGTGACTTAATAGATAAAACGGCTCAAAACGTAGTCAAAGATAGCCTGATTTGCCCGCGTTCAGTCAAAACTGTAGAGCTGAACTTGTTTGTTCTTCGGGATTGACTTACGCTACGCAAGCATCCTTGCTGGACAGCATGCGAGAGCAAACCACCCCCTCCCCCCTCGCCCTAGAGGTCAATGAAATCCCTTATTTCGTACTCAGATCTCTTGTGACGAAGCCAAAGGCGAGATCTGGCCCCAGTTGTCGCATTGAATTTGATGTTAAAAAGATTAAAAAGAACACAAAAATGAGTTGGTTCATACTTAAGATGTACGCATAACCACGCGTCGATAGAAAAAACTTCACGGCTCTATCAAATTCCATGTTTAACACGTCAAAAACTGAGGATTAATTTCAAGCATGCGCTCTTTCATGGCCTGTCACATTCCTGACAGGCAATTACGGGTACAAAATCGGATTTGACCAGATCTCGCAAGTTTTATTTAATATTAGCGCTTTCTAGGTGGCTCTAGGATCCATTTCAAAGAAAAAAATTACGGGCTAAACCGATCTCAGATCGGTCTAATTTCCAAATGCGACCTTAATTTGAACGAGGCCTAATCACAACTGTAGAACCAGAAAACATGAAAAGTCCGTTTGATCCTCGATCGAGTCTGAGATGACTGAGAGATCGAGAGAGACTTGCGCGTTTCTGACGCGTTGGCTCGTTTTAAGCGTTTAACAACTATATAGCGCTTATGTATAAGATATTTTCCCCAAGGACGACGTAAAATTTATAATACATTCAATTATGATTGAGAAAAAAAATCAATCAGCGGGCTTAAAACTATAAACTTAACGTTTCTTTCGTTCACGATTGTGACTTGCTTGCGGCCACGTTCAGTACAGTCCACAGATCCACACAAACGAAAAATCATGCAGCTTTTCCTTTGGCACGTTTAGATCTATCGCAGTCAGCTAAAAATTGGTATAAAATTTCACAACACAGTATTACAGGTACCTTTCTCTCTCAGCCTTTTGTTTTTGCTTGTGGTTTCCAATAACGTATTTAATAAAAAAAAAAGTAGAAAAGAAAAAACCAACAAACTTCAAACTGGTCTGATCGAAGAGGTGGCGAGATTTCACTCAAATTCCGGGGGATGAATGAAAAGGCACCCACCGCGTCCTTGGTACGGTTCTGACAGTTCCTGGCTTATTTCTCAAATACAGACTATCGAAACTGTGAAACTGTTCCCAGCGAAACTACTATGACCAAATTAGGCACTAGGAGACCGTGAATTTCTCTTTTTTCTTTTTAGGTAAACTTTGAACGTAGACGTTTGAGAACCAGGAGGACCAGGAAGGTTCAAGAAAAGGTTCACCCCAGGTGAACCTTTTCCAGTCCTATGCCAGGTCAAAAAGCTCGCATAAAATCGCTTTCAGTTGATTTTTTAAAGTTCAGCGAAGCGAGTGAACAACAGAGAATCAAACATAGCCAGAGGTCGAAGTTATTCATAACAATTCAATTTATACCTTAAAAACGCTGCGCTGTGTTCCCTTGAAAACCCCCGAATTTTGTGATCCTCCCAGCCGCTCGTAACCAAGGGTTCCCTCACTATTATAGAATTTTAATCATGTGACCGTGACCTCGACCTTTCATATGGAGCTCGTGAACGATTGTTTTGACACCAGATATGCTGATATTATGTCGTCACGTTCAGGTCTTTACCCTCTGGAGGCTTTCCATAGACTGATGGTTTTTCTTTCGAGCGAGTAGCTCAATTTAATCTGGAGTGGATCTTTAGTAAGTTGGATTCCGGATTCCAATCTTTACTAGGATTCCGGATTCTTAGTGCTGGATTCCGGATTCCAAAGCCCAGGATTCCGGATTCCACAAGCAAAAAATTCCCGGATTCCGGAATCCGGATTCCCTTACATGGGGCGACAAGTTTGCTACGGTTCGTCCGTGCCTCCTTTTGTATTTGCTGTCTAATTTATACCTTATTATATTTTAGTGTTTTTGAGCAGTTATTTTTATGTTTCACTAATGCAATTTGGTACCATTTCCAACTGTTTGAATTTTGGTAAATTTTCGTGACACAGCTCCTATCAGGGGCACCCAACGACGGTTTCCTCCGAAATACATTGAAAACACTTTTTAGGTTACACAGAGTACTTTCAGATCTCTAGAAATGCATTCTAGCAGCGCTATGAAATTTGTACCTGTTCGGTCATCCTAGGGAAGCTTGAGTCTTTTCGAAATTACAAGAGCTTTGTTAATATTATTCCACCGAAAATTGTAGATCAGTACTTAGTGTTCTTCGTTAGACTACCTTGGTCTTCAGAGGTCCGTGCTCGAAATACAATAGGATGAGGAAAAACTGAAAACTGTTCTTTTCATAACTCGTTTGATGCCAAAATAGTCTGAATTCTGTTTGATACACTCTGATGAGCCAATAAAAAACGCTGAAAAACTTGTAAAAGAATATTGTCTTCCCCGTCAAATGTCTTGAAGAAAGCTTCTAGCAACAAAACAAGCTTGAATTTGAATAATTAATTTGAAATTACGAATATTCGCATCCAAGCAAGCGTGCACTGAACATAACCAATAAGGGAAATAGCGTGTGAATCGAAGTTAAGATGACATGAGCCAACACAACCATACTCAAAATCATCATGACTAAACGAACCTCCTAAATCGAGTTTTATTTCGCATTGCTTTTAAGCGCAGTGTCCCAACCAAGATTGGTGGAGTAGTCACAAGGATGTTCAGCCGGAGAGCTCACAGCAATAAGGAGAAGACTAAAGGGAAAAAAGAGAAATATGGGCGAAGATATAAACATTTTTTTGCATTACAGTAGTGACTGCTCTCGAATCAACAGAGTTCTACATTTTGACTGTTGTTTTATTTC